CGCTACTGGTTTCGGCAAACTGCCATCATGCTAATATAAATAGAGTATATTAATTATAAAAGTCAAAATCTAATAGACCGATTACCGATTACCTTAGAGTTACAGTAATCGTAAAGTTTAAAGTTGAGAATTATTAAAAAATTTAAGTTGAAGTTACATCACTAAAAAAATAAAGTTTAGAGCAAAAAAGGACGACTTAGCATTAAAATTATTATGTTTGGTAGAAAAATGTTCCGCAATTCTAGTTTTAAGTTTTCGACCAGTTTCGCCGATGTAAAAGGCATCGCAAGTGGCACAATTTAATTTGTAAACACCAGATTTTTTTAGTCTGAACGAGTTTGTTTTAAAGATTATCTTTGGACGAAAAAGAGATGTTGATGTTGGAGTTTATAAAAATATTCTGGAAAGAGTAGGAAGAAAGACCTATATAAACGGCAAGGAAGAGTAATTTTGAGGGATGTCAGATCCAATGGGTTGTAAAGAAGTATGATGTTTATATAGTTGAACTTGTAGAAAACTTGCAGAGTTTCCGGAGTAGGCGAAGATGATATTCAGTTCTTTTTTAAAATTCAGACGGCTTAAAGGAAGGGTGCGTAGTCTATTGGAAAAACCGGAAGGTAGCTAATTTATGGGGAGGTGGATGAAAATAAGTAAAAGGAATCACGTGGTCGGTAGTAGTTGGTTTTCGATAAACAGCAAAGTCTAAGGAATTCTGTAATCTGGAAACTTTGAGGTCTAAGAAATTGAGAGTCTTGTTCTTTTTCAAAAGTGTCCTTAATATGGGGATAGAGCTGGTTTAGAAATTGAAACCAGTGTTGTATTTCTTTATCACAAGAATGTCATCTACGTAACGCTTGTAAAAAAGTGATCGCGTTTATAAGGTTTTTTGTTCTCCTCAAGGGAAGTAAGAAACAATTCGGCTAGTACTGAAATGTTGTATGTACCTAAGCACCTGGAATAAAAGTAAAACTAATGGCAACTCAAAAAATTGTTTTACAAGCTATTCTGATCTGGTAGGGACATAATCAACTCCTTGTAAAAACGATGTATGTGTGAAGATCTCGAGGATCGTTCGGTATTCAGTTGTATGGGATTTTTCATTCTGAAAATCTAAAGTCCAACTTAGTCTTTAATTCAGACTTTTTAATGTAACCAAGAAAATTTCAATCGGAAAAACTTGATTTCAAGTTATAGCAGCCTCACTTTAAAAATCAGTTTTCCGGTGGAACTAAGCGAGTATAAATTCTAATTAACCTATAAAAGCTTCCCTTGCAAATAAAATTAGGCCGACATTGTTAGAAGACACCCAGAACAAGAGAGGGATAATAAATAAATAAACTAAATCAGTTTTCCGGTGGAACTAAGCGAGTATAAATTCTAATTAACCTATAAAAGCTTCCCTTGCAAATAAAATTAGGCCGACATTGTTAGAAGACACCCAGAACAAGAGAGGGATAAATAAATAAATAAACTATTATGTGTGTACTAGTTGAGACCATTTTGGGCAACAAATTGTATACACTCAAAACGTTACATTTGTAAAATTCATTTATTTTGAACTTTTCCATGAATTTGCATAAACAGACCGATTCCAATTTGATTTTGTGGGTGGGGTATATTGCTGTAAAGAGCTTTTAAAATGATTGTCACTCGATGCGTGAGTTATAATTTTAGAGCGGGGTAGCTGGAGGTGCGGGAGCGATTGCTAATACAAAGGCAAACCTTCCAACAAAAATCCCCCTAGCTATCGACTCTCTCCACTGAAATTGCTAAAAAAAAGACCAAGATAGGAAACGCGCAAAATTTAAATCCTCCAGTTCAAAAGTTTGTAATTACATAAATAATTTTCTTCTTCTTTATTCGACCCACAAAATGCCCACAATCAAGTTATGTAATACTGTTCAAATTCACAGACACTATTGTTCAAATGCAACTACAAGCATTAAAGCAGGACTTGTGATAGTGATCTAGCTTGGATTACTAAATTAACGGTACTTAAAGCTGCAATACAAGTGTGTGCAATTTACACCGCATACCCAATAACACAATAAACATCAACTCTTTCCATCTAAATGTAAATTGAAGTCACAAAAGCGTACAAGAACTGCAGAATTTGTTTTAATTTTCCAAGATTTCATGTAGGTACCTATAATTATAAATACACATACAAAAATACACGCTTTCATTGTATAATGCAACCTGTTATTTAAAACAAAAATTTAACCGTTCTTGCTTTTTGACTAACCTTTACATTGCTGTGACTCCATCAAATTTTGATGCACCTTTTTTATCAATAAAGCGTCAATGATCCTTATTTTTAAACATTTTACTTGTACTCGCGAAACTATTCAATTCCCGCACTAACACGTAGTATACTGGTGAAAGCATCTGCTTCCATTCAAAGTCAAAAACAGAACTTTCCCAACTTCTTATCTTGAAAGATTCAACGCATGGCCAAAATCTTGTACCTGTAACTTGTTTTTCGAAACGCATCAAGCGTTATCAGTTCTAATATGTTTACTTTATTGTATTCGTGTCGTATTGTTAGAATTGGTAATTTTTCGGAAACCTTCGGATGATTTCTGTGTAAAATGATGTGGAATGCTTTATCGTTACTAATTGATTTTCTGTAATTGAGATGTTGGCAATTTGGTTAGCATTTTCGCTTCTCAAAAACAGACCGGTCTGCATTTCATATCCAATTTACGTATGCACCGGCTTGAATTTTAACAATCGATAGGTAAGGTTGCGTAAATCAGATCGGACGAAATTTTAGGAATGGACAGAAGGTTTCTGTAAATGTTTTTAGTAATGATTACGAAGACAAGTTCTGACTTATGAAAATTGCTTAAACGTTTCGTTGACATCCACTATCCCTGTGAGATGTTTTGTCCCCTCGAATTTTGCTTGCTTGATTGAGCAACTTCTGCGTTGATTTTATCTTATTTTTACGATTATTCTTTTGTCTAGGGCAAATTTCTTAAGTGAGAACGAATTAATTCATTTAAAAGCATAAAATCTTTTTTAGTGGCGGTCATTAATCAAATCATCCTGGATTGTGAAGTCAATTATTGTTTGCGTTCTATTCCTATCAAGTATTTCATTCCTTGAGCTTTTCAACACCAGTATGAGGATCTGCCTTGTTTCCCTCTTTTAGGAAGTATGCTCTCCTCTCTTTTGTAACTGACTAAAGACTAGGTAGCGCCTATCCGGTTTACTATTACTACATTTCCCTTTTTGCTTATTTTTCCCTTATATGATTGTCCGTCTGTCTGTTCCTCGCCTAATTCGAGAACCTTTGCCAATCGATTTCAACGAGTTCAAGGATCAGTGCTATTGAATATGAGTCGAATCAAAAGCCTGGTTTCCAAATACGAGCGGAGTGACAAAAAAAACCCCTACTGAAAATCGTATACGATTCTTCGTACCTATCTTGTTTTAGTACTTAGCGACAATAGTTTTACTCGTTTGGGTTTGAGTTTGGGTTTTTAGATTCCAGCCTTGCGTATAGTTCCAGCCTTCAATTGGGGTAAGTGACGGTGTGTCACCATACCTTCTACAACAATTTTGGATATTTTAAAAAATAAGTATAGTTGATTCGTTGTCAGTTCTCCACAAATGCTTCTTAAAACAGACAGAATCTACATGTGAATCTGCCTGTGAAAAACGCAAATGCAATAAAAAATCATCCAATTGGACCATATAAAAGTTCATACAATTTTAAAAATGGCGTTGTACCTGTATTTCCTCAAGCTTCTGAGAAATCCACTATATCCCAACTTTAAGAGACCAATACTTATGTCTTGCCATGGCCAGTCATATCTCTTGATCTTTCGTCTACTAAACGAAACGTGGGTGCGGAAAATTATAGGCAGAAAATTGAGGCATTTATAAGGCCAACACATGAAGTTCACGTGTCGTGTTCCTTTTTGGAATTTGTATCAATACGTTTCAACGTTTCGGTTAAGTTTAAAAGTTATAAGGGAGTTCACATCTTTTATATCTAAGGGATTCCCTTCAAAATCTTAAAGCCGCGTTAAAAACAACATAATATTCAAATTCATCTTAATGTAAAGTAACTTAATTTCTTTCTTCATTCGCACCCCTTTCGTTTACACAAAAATATTCCACAAGTAAAGAACCGAATGCAAAAAAATCGCATGTAGATATCTGCGAAATTGAAAGTAGTGAGAATAACGACGAAGGCGTAGACGAACAAATCTAAGCGAATACTTTAGGAAAATGTGCTAAAAGCCCTCGTAAACGATGTTGCATTGTATATTGTATGTACATTATTATAAATCTACTACATCAAAAACCCTCACCATAAATAATTATTGGCCAATTTCTGAAAAATCGAAGTGCCATTAAACAATCATTATTGTTTCCGGAGGGAAAAATGTTTCTACTTTCCTCCCTATTTTAGGGCTGTACCAGCCACCAACCTAGCTTTATAGTGGTAAAAAATGTAAGCATAAACGATTAAACCTTTATGAATTATTCATGGCGTTTCGGCAAACAGGGTCTACGCATTATTTCAGTTTCGTAAAACCATGCGATACTAATATTCGATTCCGCTTTGGGTCAATAAATTTTGGTAATTTCTAGTGCGCCACCAACACCGATTCAGGATATACTAATTGGCTGTCCACTTATGCTAATTTATTTTGTAAATAAGGGAGACCAAACAGATGTATTTGCATTTCCGTGAGCTTGTCACGTAGCAAATCGAAACTTGAATTACAGCGAACTTTACCAACAGCAACTCGACTCGAAACTGTCAATAGGATTCAATTAATTTTAGAATAACAGGTTGAAACATATCGGCTTCCGTTTCCACGAGATGACTACACAAACGATTAAACAGTAATTGAGACTGACAAAGTGCTCAGAATTTAATTCGTATACAGACTAAATTATCTCATTAGTTGTGCACAAAGAACATTTGCTAAATTTACTTAGTGCATAAAAGTGAGTACGAGTACTGACCGAGGACTTACCCCATTCTTTTTGCTACTAATTATGGCTGATCACTTTGTTAACCAATGATTCGTTTATTTCCACAAAAAGAAAGTTTTCGCTGTTAATTCTAACGAATAATGAAGAATGATTACTAAAATCGCCTGAACATACAAATTGAGGGGATCAAAACAGCATTATAAAAATTATTTAGAAAAAGCCGTAAATGTTTTGTTATTCGACTTTTTTATTACCCTATTATATCTAACATAAAAACCGACCTCTCCTCATTTTTATAACTTTATTTATCGGCAGCGTTTTTTGTCTGACATTTCTGGAGGTTCATATTTTATTCCGTAACACGCGAATTACCACACATGACGATGTTCTTTGCGAAAAATTGTTCGTGTTTAATCGCGATGTCGATACAAAATTGCACACAATTACTAAATTTAGTAATTTATAATTATCGCTTAAATTCTGGTGTATAAAGAAATCATTCAATCGAAAGGGATATTCATTGGAAACAAGTTTGAGGAAGATGTCGTCGCCATGGCAAGGGAAATTTACTGAATTTTCTTAACTGAGAGTGATAAGACCAAAATGAATAGTCCAGCAGTTTTTTTTTCAGTAATTACGAACAGGCTAAATCTTGGTGAGTAGGTTGGGCTCCAGGAGGTGGGATGACTATACAAACGTTTACTAAAATGGTCATATAGTCTTACAAATTTAGTGCTACGTTTCCCCAGTTGGAAGGTTTAACACCTGCGCAAATCGTGAGCTGCCTCTATCTACCTACTCACGAAGATTCAGCCTCGTTTTAGCATTTCATAAAACTTACGTACCTTATTAATGAATGGGTTTCGGTTTGCGATATAGATAAAAGAAAGATGGGTAATTGAATTAAAACAGATGGCATAACCTAAAAAAACGTGTTAACGAAATTAGGAATCTTATGAAAATAACTACCTCGACCAAATACAACAATGCCTCATAAACAATTTTAGCTTGATAACTGGAATTCTCCACTTCAGAAATCAACATCTTTTTTTGTAGCAAGATGATTAAGAGAAATCTAAATCTGTGGTTCCTTAAAGATATCTACCTTTGGGCAAATTTGAAGCCATTTTGTATTTCATGTATTTTCCCACTGATTATTAGAGTTAGAACTGATAGATAAAATCAGTAGTTTTTTCATTTAAATTTTTTACCTTAGGTGGGTGCTGGTTTTACAATAAAAATAAATGGTCAAGGTTTAGCATGTTTCTCAGTTTGTTTCAATTCAAATTAAAAATCAGGCTCAGCACTATACGTTTATTTTATGTGAAAGTACTAATGCCAAAATCAACAAACAAATAGGTTTTGTAGGAATGGGTTACTAGGGAAATGTATGAGAGGTTTTAAATGTATTTCGGTAGATTTTCGCCCTCTACCCTTCTTGTTGATCCCTCAAACGGCACCGTCTTCAAATTGTTTGTTTTATTGAAGTCTATACTACAGGTGAGAATAGAAACAAAATAGGCATATGATCAAAACGTAATTAATGGCCTCAGAGGATAACGTTTAACTAATTCAACTTCTGTATGGAATACCATTTGAATATTCACTCACTGGATTTAGAATAGGTACGTAGATGATGATTAAGGATCAAGAATGCAGAAAATAGTTAAAACAACAATTTATTCACACCGTCCAAAGTGGGTTTTGTCCAGGAGAGAAAATAAGGGGGCGAACTCGAACCCCACTAAAGATTAATACTCTTTTGAAAAGTACCGGGAAAGTGGGCTTTCAAAACCGTCACACAAGACGACGGACGTGAATCTAAAATGAATGAATGGTGGTCAAAGTCGCGAAGACCGAATTTTCAAAGCTCAAAACACGAAGCCAAAGAAGATGTTGACGTACCCTCGAACGTACCTAAGTCAAGAAGTAGCTTCGATTCACTAGTGCAACTAATATTCCAAATAAGCAAATGAAGAAATATCCATTCGCATTCCTGACGCAATCATATTTGGAGAACTGAGTGATTAAAATCTAACCGCGCCTCAGTTGGAATTTAGATGAAAATTAAGCACCCCTAATAGGGTAAAATGGGATATTTAGCACTAATTGACGGAAGCGAGCAGATCGTCCTATCCGAATTACGTAAATTATTCTCTTATGTATATTCCCATATAAAATACCGAACATATTTCTCAGTATGATGAAACAAAAACTAATTCTAGATCCAAACCAAATTCAATAGATTCTAAAACAGCGGTTTCCAAACTGGGGGGGGGGGGCGTAAAGTACTGTTAAGGGGACCGCGAGATCCCCGAAGTGTGGTTGCTCAACTAGTCAAAACCGAGGGTGCCATGAAAAGGATAGATTTTTACCAATTTTTTTTGTGTAAAGAAGGTGTAGCTCAATACAGGTATTATTATTAGTATTACCTAAACTTTGCGTATTAACCAAGATAAAATGCTAGAAATTATTGTTAGGGGAGGGAACATGCAATCCAAAACAAAAGAACATTCAGAATTTCAGAATTTCAAACTGGATTTAGAATAGGTACGTAGACGATGATTAAGGATCCAGAATACAGAAAATACAATTTATTCACACCCTTCAAAGTGAGTTTTCTCCAGCAGAGAGAATAAGGGGGCGAACTCGGACCCCATTAAAGATTAAGACTTTCTTGAAAAGTACCGGAAAAGTGGGCTTTCAAAACCGTTACACAAGACGACGGACGTGAATCTAAAATGAATGAATAGTGGTCGAAGTTGCGGAGATCGAAATTTCAAAGCTCAAAACACGAAGCTTCAACCAAAACAAGATGTTAACTTATCTATTCAAGAAGTAGCTTCGATTAACTAGTGCAACTAATATTACAAAAAAGCAAAATGAAGAAATATCCATCCGCATTCCTGACGCAATCATATTTGGAGAACTGACTGATTAAAATCTAACCGCGCCTCTGTCGGAATTTAGATGAAAATTAAGCACCCCTAATAGGGTAAAATGGGATATTTAGCACTAATTGACGGAAGCCAGCAGATCGTCCTATCCGAATTACGTAAATTATTCTCTTGTGTATATTCTCATATAACATACCGAACATATTTCTCAGCATGTAAAAGTGGGTAAATACTATTCATGTAAAAATACGAAATACTGCCGGTGAAGTAACGCACTCTAATTAAATCTGCATTCCCATTGCGATTTAATGCTTCGCCTAGTTTTGCGTACAGTCGCTGAACATTCTAATCTATTTAGACTCTAAAGGAGGCTAAAAGGAACGGAGATGTATTTGTATATACCTTAGGGAGATTCCTTTATTTGTGTCGAGAATGAAATACTTCGCGCAGCTGCTCTCCTGCCATACTTGTTATTACAAATTAGTACAACTACTACCTACTCTACGTCGGAGCAATCTAACGCTGCGGCACTTTCGACAATAAAACCGAAATTGGTCAAAGAGCGAGCTTGATTAATGACCACACGTCGAAGAGATTTTTGTGTTATAAAGGGAGATTGAGCGCTCCCTCGTGTAGGATACGTCAGTTTGAAATACCTTATTATTGTGTGTCAATTCAGAATCGATTGTTTTTTATACGCAAGCAAATTTAAATTAAAGAGAGAAAGTTGCATTTGATGATAGGTATTGTGAAATGAGACCGGGTCTTGGAACAATTTTATTCCATACAAGTTCTTTTAGTTGCAAATGGTTAAATCCAAACGTACCTACATTATGCGACCACGAAGTCTGTAGTTTTCAGGAGGGTATAGTTTATGGAAGTTAGTTATACCAAAGATAGTATTATCTTTGGTTATACGAAGGGAAAGGGACTCAAAACAACCTTCTAATGGAAACTTGCTTCCGCACTGCCCATTCCCTGTAATGCAATAGTATAACTTTCTAAGGCAGGTTGATTCGGAGAGAGATTCTCCTGATTTGTCGCTTTCTTGTAAAGCCAATTTTCTGTTAACCCCGTCCGATACCCAACAGTGTACAGGTTAAAATGAAAAAGTTTCATTTCCTCCAAAATTGGCTTTTAGAAATCAGAAATTAAAATTGCATAATTGCATAAGGGTGTTACCTTCATTTTGAGTAAAATGATGATATTCACTACAAAGATCCCTTTTCAGGTAGACAATAAGCCAAGCAACAGTAATGGCTTATGAAGACAAATTTGCAGGTAACCACTAGGAATCCACGATCTTCTCTCAAAGTACGGGTTGTACGCAAGACAAAAATTAAGGAAGAAGGAATATAATTGGAGAAAAATATGTAGCGTGGACTCTAGCGACAAAAGAATGAAGTAAGGGCGGTGAAACTTACAACACTCGGATGGCCTCTATTAAAAACTATTGTAAATAAAACCCATAATATCTATCTACATATAGACTAAACGAGTTTACAAAAGAAATACATATATTGCGAAAGAATACATCTTAAATGAAAAGAAAATCGAAAAGAGTTGGAATTTGGAATTTAAATTGGTTAGAAAAGAAGTTACAAGAATGTTTGAATAAGATCGACATTAACAGTAAATAACAATGTCATGTTGATAAATGTCAACATAACACCCTTGTTTTGACGTCTATAACATCCTCCATTGTAATCTTAAATTCACAATAGTAATCAAATCTATCAATTAATCCGTCAATATCCAAGACTTAACACTTGCTAAATCCTCGTGGACATAGGTGTCTATCGAAAACCTACCATCACTGACCATCCTCTTTGATTCTCTCAATTTATTTGAAGCACCCTATTTCTGAAGCTATAATATCACATTGGAAAAATGCAGTATGACGTCCATAAGAAATCAGAAAGTGTACCATGTAGCTTCTACATCTAGCGAGTTATGAAAATTGCGATAAGACATTCAGATTCTCCGAAAAAATGTGCCCATAGAAGCTGGAACCGTGCATTTCCGACCGTTTAAGGTAGTGAAAATGAAAACAAAGTTTGGCATTTTCACTTTTTCGGTGATTTCTTTAGTTAAAAAAAAGGGACAACTTTGCCCAAATTTAACCTACATTGTATCTTTTACCGTTACGGAAATCCCAATGGTGAGGCTCGAGTTTACACCCCCTTTACAATGGAACAAACTGCTATAATTGCGAGATCGCCCTGCAATTGGAGACACCAGGAAAAATTCAAAGATAAAAATTCGTTGGGGTTGTTATCATGTTCTTACAGATCAAGAAAT